ACCTACAAGTCTTCCATCCAGGACAGCCTGGGAATATTTCATGTACACTGAAGACATTTGAAATATTCTAGAGTCATGCATGCTACCAGCCCATCTAGCAACTATATCTAAAATTTCCGTTTGTGGACCAACAACAACCTGCAAAAATATAGAACATTTACATTTTATTTTTCAATTTATAAGGGATTTTGTTGACTATAATGTTCTGATATTATGTGACTGTAAACAAACAATATTTTGCAGCAAAAATAGATAATACATGCATACCTGCACATTAATTGAAAAATATGACTTCCTGTTCCTATATACTTCATGATGTCTGCATCCTGGAGTATTTACAATTTTTATATGAGTGCAGTCAATGGCACCATCTACCCCTGGAAGTCCAGGCCAACGTCCATGACTTCCCAAGTTTTTGAAAAGTTCTCTGTTTTTACTAGCCTGCTCTCCTTGAGGTATTTTTATGTACTTTGTGTGAAGAAGGGCCAATAGTTTTGAGACTTTAGTTATAATATTTGATGCTGTAGGTTGTGATAAATTTATTAGATCGCCACAAACAAGCTGAAATATAAATTGATTGAAGATTACATTTTCATAGGAATATATTTTTGATGTTAATAATTTTCATCAGATGTTGCTAGTTGACACTGAGGTGTAGTTATTTTTTTGTTATACAATTTCATTTAAATGAGAAGTTAGTTTAAACTATCATATTAATACACAAAACAATGCTTAAGTGGTTTGCTGTTTAATTGTTTCCACATTTTTAACTCTTTTTGAATTATTCTACTTTTATGAATATCTGTGGTTCAGTTTAATTATTTTTAATCTAATTAATATACAGTATAACTAAAAGTACAAAAAGTACATTTTTTGAACAAATTAACTACCGCAATATGAAATCTGTCAAATATTACAACTCATTGTTAAGGGACTGCGCCTTGATGGCAGAAAAGGTCGTAGTTGCTCTCATTACCTACTTTGAAATTTTATACATTATATTAATTTCAACAATGAATAAAATCATACCTACTTAAATAAATATACAATATGTACATACCTGAAATGATGCTGTGGCATAAAACCTTAAAGTTAATAAGACGGCTATTTCTGGGGTAATTGGAAGACCTCTGTTATTTACTTTTACCAATAAGTTTTTTATTAATGTTACAGTATATATTACCGCCTCTTGACCAAATCTGTATCTTTTTTTAAATTGTTCACTTGGTAACTTAAAAGGATCGGATGCATCTCTTATATAAATTTTTGGTAAACGGTATCGCAAATGCCGTAAAATATCGTCATAGTATTCAATATCGTCGTAATAATTAATTTCTCTTAAAATATTTTCCATCTCCATGTCAACAGTAACGATCTCAAGTCACGGACTGCCCGCACTCACATTTTAGCATCTCAAGCATATCTCAAGTACACACACTTAAGAGGCGAGTTTCGTTTATTAATCAGTACGTCGCTCAGCTGATAACGTAAGCCTAATCCTTATCTTGAGATATGTTTATTAATAAGGTCATAAACTCAAAATTGTACTCAAGTGCATGTACTTAAGCTGAGTAACGTTTATTAATACGGGCCTTAGTGCATATAAGGACGGTAGCATAGTGTCCTGTGTAAATTTAACCTCAATTCACGAGACTGCTCACTTCAGTTTGATAAACTCTAAATGTTATATAAATACACATAAAATAGTACTTTGCTTAGTGATTAAGCAAGCGCGGGGCCTGTAACAATATCTATCAAGGGGCCCATGATTCGCTATGAGTTCTTAAGTATAAAGTGGTAAAAACAATTAAATACTCAATATGTTTATTTACCATCTATAGGTAAAAAATTTGTTGATGTTTAGTTTTATTTAAATTATACAGTAGTTTACTATAGGCTCTGTTAGACTCTGACAAGTACTAAGTAATCGGGGAGATACGATAGATGATTTCTTTTTGACGATTATAGCGAAGGCTGGAGTCTTTTGGGGGTTAAACTGGTCTAGATTTAGTGGCCCTCAATCCGAGATTGTTAAACAAAAGCTCGACTTCAGACACAAATTTATTCCGGCACTCGACGACGTGTTACATAGAAGTATAAGCACGGTCGGCGTCGGCGTATATCGACTGCATAACAATGAATGTTACTAGTATGCAACGTATCATTGATATGCAGAAGGAACAGGATTGGCAACAACACGCAGCCTTGTGGAACACCAGCATTCAAAAGCTTGGAGTCGAAGCATGCACCGTCTACCGCGACCTTAATACACCGATCTGTAAGAAAACTGGTGACCCAATTGCGCAACTTTTATTATTTTAATTATATATTTAAGGGAGATTATTGTAATTTATGTTTAGATTAAATATACTTAAGAGAAGCCCATAAGAGGGAAGCTTTGAAAGAAGCCAAACCCGATGAAGTACTTCGCTATGTCCAAAACTAACCGCCAGGGCCTACCTCTTCCCCCCCCGAACGGGTTCCCGCCTTGTCGTGGCGGGGGGGCTTAGTAGCCGTGGCTTGGTCTCCCACGGTGAACAAAGAGGAACCCACGTGGCTGGCCCGAGGTGAAGGGCCGGCCTGAGGTGGCCGCTCCGAGTGGGCTTGGGGAGCCCACTTCGGATGTGTGCTGGTGGACTGCAGCGAGTGGGGACTCGCGCACCCTCTACCGCTGCAGTCGAGGTGGAGTCGCGGAGGAAGAGGAGTGTTGGTATGGCGATGCGCCACTCGCCCTATCCTTCGCGACTCAAACGGGGCCGCACCGTTGATGCGGTGGTGGTGGGGCTGCGGGGGGAGAGGATTGTCGGTATTGCGAGGCGCCGCTCTCCCTACCCTCCGCAGCCGAATCTTGGTTGGCGGCGGAGCCATAGACCAGATCCGCCGCTGGGGTCGGGAAGGCTAGTACTTCTAAGTGCTCGTTTTTCCTGGCCCCATGGCCTTTGTGCATCGGACGCGGGGACGTCTGTTGCACAGACGTAGTTGGAGGCCGTGGAGGAAGGCGCGCCATGTGTTCTGGTGCGCCTTACCTGGGAAGGAGAACGGGGAGGAATTTTCCTCTCCCGAGGAGGTGCTGCCATGGGGCGGCAGGCGCTAGTAGGGCCGCGGATGTGTGCGAAAGCGTTCCCGTAGCCCTGCCAATATGCGACAAAGGTGGAACACCATGGGGTTTTAGTCGGTGCGAGTCCGACATAACCCGTCCTTGCCCCCGCAAGGCGGGTATGCGTAGGCATTTCCCCATGCAAACAAAAAAAAAGGGCCTACCTCTTGGTCTAGCTCTAGTCTATCTGTGTGAGTGAGGTAGACAAGAAGATTGGCAGCTGAGCGACCTCGTTGGAAATCGTAGTGACGGTCACACATCAGTTGATGCTCTTCAAGGTACCGCATGAGCCGGCAGTTAATAATGGATGCCATTATTTTGGAACAAGGTGATGGCCATTTAGAGATCGGGTGCACTAAGGCTGTCTTCTATAAAATCTTCGACCCAGTTGGGGGGATTCCACCAGGCCCACTCGACTTGTTGACGTCTATGGATAGAAACGTTTTGCGCACCGAGTGTTATATACAGCAGTGTAGCAGTGTATACCGAGTGTTATATATACAGTATATAAACAGCACATACGGCATTGAGCACTCACACCACGGGTTGGTCAGAGGTATGTTTTCCCGTCGTCAAGAGCAGAATAGGATTACAGGATGCAAAAAGGGAACGTAAAAGATCGGCTTTCTCTTTTACGGCCAGCGTGTCATATACCCTGCGCAAAGACGGTAATGATGCCTTACAGAAATTCCCTTTGGCGCCTTGGCGAGGAATTAGAACGCACGAGTTTCCGAAGAAAGGCGAACTAGCTTCTCGCTAATTTTCCCAATATGCTCCGACTTTGACTTAGCGATAACTCTTTTGAAGGACCTGGAGGGGCGAAGTTATACTTCTTTTTGAATGCGCTAAGATACCGATGCGTTAGCTCAGGCCTTGTAACACCCCTGCTTTTGACGCGACGCAATTTTGCAGGAGAGTTCAAATCAAGGTTGCGATCTGCCGCCAATAGGCATACAGTTGACGGCATGAAAAGTTCCATCCCTTGCAGCACATCGGCGACAAACTCAGCAACGATTTTTTTGGGACCATCCAGCGTGAAGCAAATACGTTTACGCGAAAAAAAGCCCGCATCCAATCCTAATCCGCTAACCTATAGTGCCTCATACGGCGGTAGCCCGATCGGGCACTGTACTCCGGATCAGACAATGATCCGAAGAGCCAAGAGGGGCTTTGACGGAGACCTATAGATAGAGATAGCTGTCCGGATGAGAGATCAGCAGAAGTTACAACAAGGAACGTGTAAGATCCTTCACATCTGGAATCCGAGTGGGCGAAGTCACCACGGTGAGCGTTGAAACTTGTGCGTTTACCGTATGAAATTCTGTTTTTTACTTTCGCCAACGTAATACACGGTTACCGATTGTTTCAGGTGGATTGTCACAGATGAAAACTGTGCAACATTTAACGTTTTGTGACATTGAGTAATTCACGTGTTCATAGGTTTCACTAAAGGAGGGCTAGGTTTACACGCAGGGCCCTTTTTGCACTGGGTCCGTAGCAATTGCTACTCTTGGTACGTGGTTAAACCGGCACTGTCGTTAGGCGGGCTTGAATTGAATGAAATAGCCTTCGTGCATACCTCACTCCCCGCTCTCTTACACTTAGATGAACCATTATCTCGTTTGTCACTTCAATTTTATAAAAAAAAAAAACAAAGCATAATATACATAGCTGCTGCCAGCTGTAAGCTGATGTCAAATTTGTTAGAATAAGAGATTATATTAATATATTGGTTTAGTATGATATGAAAAGATAATTATTCGACAATTCGTAATTCTCTGTCATACATAATAATAAGGAAATAAAAGAAAATAAATTACTATGCAGTAATAATCATAAAACTATTTTAATTTCTGTTATACTTACATGAAATTCAGTCCAGAAATAAAGTCTTATTATTTACCTTTAGGCACTGGTGCTAAGGTGTTTTGCAAATTCCCCTCGGAGTCGTATATCCGCACAGCAACATCAGCTATAATAATCATATCTTCGGATAAAGCCAGGCCTCCGACAAGCCCTAGTTCACCATTGCCGATCTATAATCATAAAGAAAAACTTTAAAACAATAATAGTTTACACGATAGCAGTGCACTGGGTCCTTTTGCTTTTCGTTTGGACTGATATCTGTTACGGACTCAGTTAATAATGTAAATCAGTTTTAATGCTCAATTTTGATTTAGTTTTAAAAAAGAAAAAATATTTTTCAAATCGAGTATTTTTAATTTCGAATGTAATTTAGTTGCATTTTTAAAATAATGAGCCCTCCAAATGAAAACTTTCTACAGCTAATGTATGAGAATACTAGTAAATGACGTCACAGTTTTTTATTAGCAAATATAGATATTTCGTATATCAACAAAAATCTAATTTTACCTTCATTGCAGTACCGGTTAAGTTTTGAAACTTCTCACAATAATTATGATTTCATAATAATTGTGATTATTTTCTATTGATGGTGTCAATAATTATTTAATAACTGTTTTTAAAAGAGAGTGATAGTGTGGAGACAGTGAGAGACAGAAGGTTTTACAGTACGTGGATGTAAAAATAAAGCATCGAGCTTTAGAAAGAGATAATCGGCTAGCTTTCGATTTATAGAGCGTCATCTCTGTAGACGTCATCAGGCGCAAACAATCCGATATGTATTAACAGTTGTTTATTTTTATATAAACACTAATAAATAATAACAAATATTTTTTTTATATTTACATATTATGTAAGTTGATTTATATTACGTCACTATAGGGTGCAGCAGGTGAAGCCTATGGCATTGATATTTTACAATTTTAATTTTACATTAAAATATTATGAAAATGATCTATCAATAAATACTACTAATTGGATACGTATTATTTTAATTTCGATAGTTGTTAATTGATTTATTTATTTAGTTAAAAAATTTGTTATTATTTTAGTACAGAAAGTTTATTTTAAATTAGTAGTATTTATTGATAAATCAATTTCATAATAATTGTAAAATATCAGTGCCATAGGTTTCTATTTCGTTCATCTGTTACAACCATTGAGTTATTATGTACTACGTAGTACGTACTAGAGGCGACACTGCATTCAGCTACTCTGTTCCACTCAACTGCGATGCATACACCGCACTTTAATCAGTCACTCGCTAGGCGCTTGTAGAGTTGACACGTGTTGTGTTGATTTAAAAAAAAAATCTCTTGATAAAAATATGCCGTCGTGTGTACTTAGATATTGCACAAATAATTCAAGAAATGTCAGTAAAAACCAAGGAATTACTTTTCATCGGTTAATAAGATACTTAATCAATAAAAAAAAGTATTATTGATTAATAATAAAACAAATTATTCCTAAGACGCCATCTCGTGTCATGGAATATAGACTATGAAATTAATATGTTCAGATGCGACATTTCTGTGGGTACTTAAATATAGGATGAATATATTAGTATACACATTTTTTTTAGTAGAAACATATATAAATTATTATAATTAGGCAAAATTTTTCATGTTTAAATCTGCTTATTATTCTTTTTATTTTATTTTTAGGTTTCCATATCAAAGTCAAAGTGGTATAAATTCGTCCATTTTTAACTCTCGCGTGCCCAGCATTTATGAATGAATCTTATTCTAATTTAAATAAACATATTTGTAATTTATATGTTATGTTAATAAGTTTTGTTAAACATACATTTAGTATGTTTTTTTATATTAGACATAGATAACTTTTAAAATATTCAGATAAAAATATCATTAAAATGTAATTGTGATATAATATTATGTAATAGTATATTAAATAAGCAACTATAATACACAAAATAAATGACAAAAATTAAATATTGTCCTCGATATAATTTACCTTTTTAACAATATAATCTACTATTACCTACGGGTCATTCTACCTATGTTTATACTATGATAAAAAAAACCAACCGCGCGAACACAGAGTAGCGCACATTTTTTGTTTGAGATAGTTCTAGTACGTAAGTACATATTACTTCAATGGCCATAGGTTTCTATTTCGTTCATCTGTTACAACCTATTTTTTTCCAGCCGGTAAAAAAAATCACTCAGTATAAAGTTGCATGCTGATAACTTACATTTGTGAGTGTTATAAATAAGTTTCTTGTGATTATGACCTTTTAGAAATAGATTCTTTTTTATTCAATATAGATTATAAATCATACTTATTAAAAGCCACTCGTGTTCTTAATTTACGACAGCTTCGGAAAATACCTTTGAAATCGTAGGTCAAGAAACAAACTATAGTAGTTAAAATTCTAAAAAATTCTGATTTCTCAACTCACGGTTTCCTCTCTCTAGCTCTTTTTCATCCCCCTCCCCCCTCTAGATTCAAAATTTCCTTAACAAACGTAAACGACAGAAAGTTACATAGGTATGAGTGACAGAGTTCTATGTAGTCGAGGGGTTAGCCGATTATATCTTACTAAACAGTTAGTTTCACAGTACGCAAGCAACCCGAGTTTGACTCCGAAAAGAATGTTGATTGACGTGCTCTTCGTGTAGGAAACCTGCATGTGTTAAAATAAAAAAATATTTCGTAGACATGATGTGTAGTCAGTCAACACGTATTAAGGCAGCGCGCTGGACACTTCTTTGTCGTCTTTCAGAAATGAGCGGAGGTCTGTGCGTAGAAGCGGGACGTTAAATACTGTAACTTGTCATTTTTTTTGCTTGTATAATTTAACTTGAGAGGCGGCTACACCTCATATTTACTGACTCGTTGGTTTAGTGGTTGTAGTAGTGTGACTGCTGATCATGAGGTCCTGGGTTCGAATCCCGGGTCGGGCCAAAAATCAATTATTGAGTTTTTCTGTCAAGAAATTCTCAGTAGCTGCCCGGAGTCAGGAAGTCGGCGGTGTCTCACCCCCCTGCCTCGGAAAGCACCTAAAGCCGTTGGTCCTGCGCCTGATCTCTCTCCGGTCGCGTCGGTTTACCGTCCCATCGGATTATGAGAGTGAGGAATAGAGAGTGCACCTGTGCTTGCGCATACACTTGGGCACTATAATCCTGTCCTGCGCCGATGGCTAGCTTAGAGGCAGGCCACCGTGACTGAAATTCGGTCTGGAGGACATTATTATTATTGGGGGGTATCAATATAGTTTTCGCGTCTGGTTGGGTTCTATAAATATATGATTATAAATGGAAATGAAAAGATAAATATACATAAATATCAATAGAATTAAATAAATATAAAAATATATAAATAAATAAAAGCCCAACCAGATGGAAGCCCTCGGCAGGGGAGACCAAACGGCCGAGGGTTAGGGGGAAAGGGAAAGAAACCGGCGGACGATGCGGGCGGTATCGAGGAGCACCGCCTTCTGCATTTGAGCCTGGAGCGGTCCGCCACGTAGTTCCAGCCGCCTCAGATGACCCGAGAGGCTGACTGGGATTAGCCCGTTTGCAGAGACGACTACAGGAATAATTTCGGTCGGCAGACCACCCCACATGTCGGTCACCTCGTGAGCCAGGTCCAGATATTTTGTTTGCTTATGTGTTTCGGCTTTCACGAGGTTCTCGTCATACGGAATGGTAATGTCGACCAAAAATATCCTTGACTGTGCCCGGTCCATCAGCACAATATCAGGCTTTTTCATTATTACTATTATTATTACCGGCGTGTGTGTATATATAAGGCTGCACTTATTAGGGGCTAGCAATGTGTTACCTCGCGCTCGATGTTGCCGTGCGCGTCGAAGATGAAGACGGCCCGCGCACCGTTGTCGGCGACGGCTAGGCGGCGGGAGGCCGCGCCGGACGCGTCGGCCGCCACGCACACCGGCTCTACCAGCCGCTCCGACCGGATCGTGCGCACCGTCGACCCGTCGATCCGCACCTGGGCAGTGGGCACACCACTTTGTCGCACCAACGCAAGCGCCGTTTGTACGTGCTAGACCCACTTAAAAACTAAGTGTTGTAGCACGAAGGAATCGGCTCAACTGAGCAAGGAACACGCTTTCACAGTATACCAGCGTAAAATAGCAGCTTATGTTCATGTATTTCGTATGGTGAGTAAGAGAACCGGAGATCCTTTTTACTGGATACCAGGCATTCCATCTTAGTCTTCAGATATGACAATGCATTCGCATTTTGATTAATTATCGAGAATAAATACACGTCTATGGGCCATAATATCCACTTACCATCAGGAAGACTGTGTGCTCGGTTGTCAGCCATATTCTATATAAAAAAGATACATCACTTGTTCACTTTTTCCTATGTTATTTTTTAGCCGACAAAAAAGAAGATTTACAATTCGGCTGAATATGCGTAATTGTATATTTTAAACGATTTTGATAGTTTTTTTTAAGTGAAAACTTTTTTTAGAATTGTTATGGTTTGAAACTAGACGAAACTAAAAAGCGACAATAAAACGAGACAAACATATATATATATATCTATAGAATTTACCCTGCGAGAGAATGAGATAGAATACAGTACACAGTGTTTCCTATTAATATCTTGGTCTCCTTTTCTAAAAGTTTCACTTCTACCGCATCTGACCGCATTGACAACGAGCATACTATTTATGCTCGTTGTACACTTCAAGCATAAGAATAATATAAAGTTCATATATAAAGTAAAAAAATACCTCGGTTAAAGTGCGTGTCCGCCAATTAACGACTACCACTCCCTCCGCTGTTACCGCAATCCCTGTACAACTCCGACCTGCTAATCCTGTAACAAATATATATATACATTTCAATGCTGTAAATAAAAAAAGCCAATGCTGTTGTTCAATACGTATTTTGGATTTTCTCTTTGACAGGTCTTAAAATCTAAAAAAAAAAAACAAATGACATGAGAGTTATGTTATCTGCGATGCGATTTTAATAAAAATTAAAATACCTTAGAAAAATACTTACCTTCATTTACAATATGCGTTTTAAAAGCGAATGTTTCGTCATCTAACACCTTGACCCTTGAGTTGCCAGCATCCAGCACATAGATTTCGCGTCTCTTAGGGCATCTGAAATTGTAATTTTTATTTTATTATTTAAAGTGTACACATGTCGTTGCCTGCGCCATACCTGTGCCGAGTATGACGATGACGTTTGCCTGTGCATTTTTTACGCGCAAATAATTGATTTTTCTATGTTGCCATGGTCGTTTGTGTAAAATTAAAAAACCCGTATAGGTATATTCCGGTCTACCTGTGCAGGCAAACCTACACAAGAATCTTAGCGTATATGGCCAGGATGGAAGTCTATTACTCCAGTGAGTACCTTAAAACAACCAAGGGAAGACCAAAAACTGTCTTCACGAATGATATACGCACCAAGGTAGTTATTTTTCTTACGCCACCACTAAACGGGATAATTTTAGTTAACATTTGATTAATAAAAATATAATTAAAAAAATTGAAATCTATTAACATATTTTATTCAGTGAGTACCTTAAAATCAACTAAGGAAAGACCAAAAAAAATCTATGTGTTTATGAATAATATGGTCACCAAGGTAGATTTTCTTATGCCACCACTAAACGGGATAGTTTATTTAACAATTGATTAACAAAAATATAATTAAATAGAAATAAAACAAGATATATCAAGATGTATCTTATATTAAATAAAAATATTTTTACGGATTTTATAGCGGTTACTTTATATCTAATAAATTTTAGGCTTTGCGAGTGCTCTGCAGTATCAATCGCTAGGGAACTGAGGCATTTGATGTCCTGATACCACAGTTAACCAACTTAAGTTCCTACAGTTGCAACCTTCAGTATTTATATTATCAGTCTTATTTAAATACAAGCAATCTATCAAATAAAATTAAGAAAATAAACTATGAAATTAATTTTTAAGTGAAATCGTTGGAAACAGTTCAGTGCACTATTCATTTTTTATTCATTATCTCTAAAAGTAACACATCACAGGTAAATCGTTATCGATAGTTCATGCATGAGAAGCGCGCCATTGTCTACTGTGAATCTACATTTTTATATTACTGTGTATCTGCATTTTTTGTTTTATCTTTTTAATTTATACTAGCGCGTATGCAGACTATTTTAACTAGAGGACGGCAAAAAAAGACAGCACGGTTGTTGCGCCATAAAAGAAGATATTAAATTTAAAACGAGCATATCCGCCGAAACGTTACGCCGTGTCGTTACTCTCCTAAATATTCTTTTTATTTTTAAAACACCGACGTCATACAACTAGCGAAGGTGCCAAACGTGCAGTGTTGCTGGCACCAAGAATTCTAAAATATGAAACATTTCTAACCGAATAGTGCGGAGATAATTTTCACGCGAACTAAGCGAAATAATGGTTTGAAGTTACCACGTAAGTAAGTTGCTTACCACGAGTGATTAAGGAGAATATTAGTAATGTTTATAGCATTGTTAATATTCTTTAAAAAAAAAGGTGTTTTGATATGTGTAAAAGTGCTGCAATTTTCATGATTGCGCTTGTGAACTGTTCATGGAAACGATGAAATAATTGCAAGCGCCTTGAAAAATTGGGATATTATCTTCATTGATTGCTTGTTGCTAAAATCTCTCATAGTTATCACTATTTAACGCACCAACATGTGAAAAAGTTTGTTAATATATTTTTTATAGGATAGGATGATAAACGAGCACACAGTCCACCTGATGGTAAGTGGTTGCTGTGGCCCATAGACATCTACATCTAGCCTCGATTATGAATCAAAATGCAGATGCGTTGTCATCCGTGAGGACTTAGGTGGAATGCCTCGTTTCCAGTAAAAAGGGTCTCCGGTTCTCTATACTCACCATACGAAACATTATATTAACATTATTTATATTTTGTAACGCCAGTGTTTGATGTATTTTTGGCTGAAAGACTAGAAACCACTGCCACAATAACGAAAAAATCGGGGTGGGGCTATGTCGAGAAGACGACCGCGTGTTTTACATAAATACGGGTACGTAACGACCTTAAAGGCACCGTTCTTTCCCCGTCCGCGCGTAATATGTCACAGTTCTCACTCAACGTAACGAATTCTTTGATCCTTTAGCTATCGAGTGGTGTGATTAAATTTTGATGTAGATGATAAACAGTGCGGCTGTAACACAAAAGTATTTTGTTATCATCAGTTTTATGAATTGCCTCCGGTTGTGGAAACAAATTTAAAGACGTATTTACATCAAAACTTTAGGCGGGAGAATGAGGTGTACCTGGCGACGGCGACGGGCTGGCTGAGCTGGTCCTTGCCGGTGCCGCGCGAGCCCCACACGAGCAGCGGCGAGGCGGCGGCCAGCACGGGCGCGCGCAGCGGCGAGTCGCGCACCGCGCGCGCGAACACCAGCACGCGCACGCACAGCGCGCCCGCGCTCCACGGCCGCATCGTGCTCCTGACACGACGTACCACCACATTAGCTTAACTTTCATATTCGACATGTTTTAAGCATGTATGTATAGATGTATTAAGATTTAAAAGGAACGAGGAAGCTATGTCGCCCGTGGGTGTCGTAAGACAACAGAAGGAAAAAACCAAGAGTTGGGCAGCAGCATCTTACCAATAATAACTAATTAACTGCGGTTGTCAACCGCTGCTGCGTGCCGAATATGGTAAATATTCCGCCTATGGGTCAATCTATGGGGGAGGGGGAGGCCTATGTTCAGCCGTGGTGGATTTTTGATCGGTTCTAAGGGTAAGACTAACGACGGGTGGTGTGAAATGGAATGTCATGACATGATGGTGTCAAATGGAAGCCCGCAGTCTCTGCCTACCCCTCTTGATGACAGACGTGTGAGTACAAATACAAAATAACTCGTAAGTATTAAGAAGGGAATGCTCCTGATGCGAGGTACCTGTAGAGGCCGGAGTCGAGGTCCGTGACGGCGCAGGGCAGCGGCGCATCGTCAAGCGTGGCGGCTGCGCTCACCGGGTCGCCGCCCGTACTCCGCGGCTCGCCGTGGTAGTCCACCGTACGCAGCACCACCGACACCTCAAGCCCGCACACGCACGCAGACTCTGAACAACGGTTTGCGTTCCCTCAATACACCCAAACACTTCTATGTATAATACGATTCTATTTATAGACGGGCACTACAGTACACATTGCGCATTAAGTTACACTCAATTCTTCGTAAGTCGTCTCGCCCGCTCCCAGTCGACTCTTTAGTCGACTGTGAGCGGGCGAGACAACTAGTTCTTTCTTTTGTAGACCGTGAACGTTGTTTTCGACAATCTAACACTGATTTCGTTCTAATGTGACTAAGAAAACGCTGTCATTATTTTTATGTACGCACTTTGTCAACGTGATCTGAAGTTTATTTCGGATAAGTATGTAACTTTATTTCGCATTTGCCTGAAAACTGTTGTAAATGGGAATACAATTTCCTTGGCATATTTACCGTATCGCAAGGCACGCACGTTTAATTCAAAACTGTGATTCAGTTTTTGTTTCCAATTGCTGGTCCAGTAGAAGTATTTGACTGCATCCATTTTTCGATTTTCAAATGTACACATAATATTATGAACAACTGCTACACCGGGGGAACTGCAGGTGCATTACCGGCCTTTTAGAAAAGAGCAAGTTCTTTTCTTGACGGTTTTTAAGTCATATCTGAGCCATAGGCTTCGTCGTCTCGAGATGGTAGTGGACGGCGGTTACGTTCGAGTGAAGTCCCTTGATATTGCACAAAATCACGGATAGCGTGGCGGGCGTCGCCTTGGTTTTGTTACTCAGCTTGCCCCGAGCAATTTTGTCTTGAGCGGGGTTATCGATAGATTATTATTATAGCGATATAATCGATATTTAAAAAAATATCAACAGTCCTAGATTGAACTGATCAGTTGAACTGACCGTTTGTGTAGTCCATTAGTGTTCCCAAATATGCTCCACATACAATACAATAAAACTGAGATTTTATTACTATTTAACATTACAAGCTGCTGTAAATGTCTGGGTAATTGTTAGTGTTTAAAACTTATATGCTACATTATTCATTTAATAAAATAAATGTATTCAATAAAAGCTAAAATTAAAAGTGGGGAGCTAAGTGGTTTTGAAGTGAAAACGTCTTTAGCGGCGTTGTACACTTTTAGTGTAATGGGTAAAAAATGTTAAACTCGTGTCAGGACTCGTGACCTGATCGAAAATTCGTAAGACGGACGGCGTAGGAGAGGAAGATTCCCCCTCTCTTTCTACAGCGCGGCGAAAATATATGCCTGCGCCTGATGTTTCGTTTAAGCGACGCAGGGCGCTTGCGCGAATGTTCGTGTGTGGTAATTAAAGCAATTCGTGCAAAATTATTCCCTAATCATTCCAAAATATCAAAAATGTAAAACGTTAATATTCAAGTTTTCACTTCTGCCGGCACTATATATATATGCTTGATTCTTAAAAGAAATCGATATTGATTGTTTAGAGTTAGTAATCATTTGTTCCAATTATACCGGAATAAATTAGAAACGGATAAGTTAAAACACAAGACTTACCAGTTTCTTCGTATTTACTGTTACTGCTTATTTCTAGAGGCAAAGTTATATAAATTTAAGATTGAAACTAGATAAAAAATAAATTTATTAAATCACTTTCACTACAAGTAGTAAAGCTGTCGTTGTTTACATTAAATATTATTTGATTTCCAGCGCGGTGGTCTTGTTCTTTAAGAAAGGCGACAACGCTCTCTTGAAGAACAACAGACCGATTTCCCTTCTGAGCCGCGTCTACGTGCTGTTTTCGAGAGTCATTACGAATCGTCTCGCACGCAGACTCGACGACTTCCAGCCTCCCGAACAAGCCGGTTTCCGAAAGGCTTCAGTACCATAGACCACATACATACCCTTCGGCAAATTGTACAGAAGTCCGAAGAGTACAATCTGCCACTTTGCCTGGCGTATGTGGACTATGAGAAAGCCTTTGATTCCGTCGAAATTTGGGCGGTGCTACAGTCTCTTCAGCGGTGCCTAGTTGACTGTCGGTATATTGAAGTGCTGAAGTGTCTGTAGAGTAGGGCTACGATGGCTATCCGAGTACAGAACAGGCGAAACCTATCCAACTGCAGAGAGGTGTAAGACAGGGTAATATTATATCCCCGAAACTCTTCACTGCTGCGTTGGAAGACGTTTTCAAGCTACTGGACTGGAAAGGATACGGTATTAACATCAATGGCGAGTACATCACTCACCTTCGATTTGCCGACGATATAGTCCTTATGGCAGAATCGCTGGAGGACCTTAGCACTATGCTCAATGACCTCAATGGTGTCTCCCAACGGATAGGTCTTAAGATGAACATGGACAAAACAAAGATTATGTTTAATGTCCATGTCACACCTATGCCGGTAGTTGTTGGGAGCACTATGCTCGAAGTTGTTGACGAGTACGTTTACCTGGGACAAATAGTCCGACTAGGTAAGTCCAACTTCGAGCGAGAGGTCTATCGACGGATTCAACTCGGCTGGGCAGCGTTCGGGAAATTACGACACATCTTCTCGTCAGGTATACCTTAATCTCTGAAAACTAAAGTGTATATATACCAGTGCGTGTTGCCAGTGATGACTTACGGATCTGAGACGTGGTCCTTCACCGCTGGTCGTATGAGGACGCTCAAGGTCGCTCAGCGAGCTATGGAGAGGGCTATGCTCGGAGTTTCACTGCGTGATAGACTCAGAAATGAGGATATCCGCAGTAAAACCAGAGTGACCGACATAGCCCAACGGATTAGTAAGCTGAAGTGGCAATGGGCCGGCCATATAGCTCGAAGAACCGATAACCGATGGGGAAGAAAGGTTCTCGAGTGGCAGCCTCGTACCGGTAGACGTAGTGTAGGGCGACCCCCCACTAGATGGAGTGACGACCTGGTAAGACATGCAGGAAGTCGATGGATGCAGGTGGCTCAGGACCGTGCTTTGTGGCATTACTTGGGAGAGGCCTATGTTCAGCAGTGGACTTGTGAAGGGCTGTAATGATGATGATGATGATTTCCAAAAATGTAGTCAAAATTAATGACTCTTTGAAAGTCATCCATAACAGTTTTTTTTTTTGTTTTCTCCACCACTTTTGCCCAATCTTCCTTTGTGACATGAGCACATGCTGCCTTCAGCAAACCTTCCATCTTCTTTATCCGGAAAGGTGGCTTGGTGTTGTCTGCGTGTGTGCTGCAGTGTCGTGGTGCGTAGCTCGTAAAGGCATTAAAAAGTTAAAGTTACAGCCTATATCCCATTAACGCCCTCTGTACTTGCTTGAGTACACCTCGTTATGTCGATATTTGATGTACTTTGGCATTTGTTTCAATCGAACTAATTGTTTATTTTGAAACTAGATGACTCTAATAGACTATAAAATCAATCGTTTTGACAGTGACGCGTAAACTAATGTCAAAATTTTTATTTCGTGAAACGGTTTTGTGACTTTAATCTGGAGATAAGTAATTATTGTTGATTTTAAATAAATATTTTAAGGGTTTTGGATAAATTTTGGATTTTAACGTTTGATAATACTTTATTACTGCTTGTCAAATTGTATTTTACATAAAATCTTTATAAAATCTGCCATATTACGATGATTTATACCTCTGTACACAGACAGGTACAATGGGCATATGTATATGTTATTTTAACTTTTTTACAGTTGTACTCGAAAACCAGTAAATAGCGAACCGCTGCGTTTTTTCGAATCAAAATAACTACTCGAAGCTTGAGGAAGCACTAGAATCGATACTGGCTGGTGAAGATCAAGATGTAGAGTATGATGTAGTGTTATTACCGCCAGATCCCGCTATCATAAGTGACGAAGAAGAGGATAATGAAGACGACTTAGTTTCTTCAACACTTCCAAGGGATGTTCCAGGGACCTTGGAGGTAATTCACCGCCATCCTGATTATGACGTTTTGGACTGAATTGACAGTGACGATGAGCCCCTATCAAACACGGCTGGGACCGCAGAACACTAGAAATAAGCGACCTAGAAACCAAAGCGAGCAGCCCGAAGTACAGGTTTGGAGGAAAACTTTACGCCAATACAGTGCTGTTTATGATGCTACAGATACATTAGAAAACCGACAACAAAGTATAATAGAAAGCTTAAAAGATTATGGTTAGTTGATGTTTAGACTGGTTTGATGACCTGATTGTACGCTGGTCAAAATTATAAGCACAATTTTGAGCTGGACATCTCTGACTTGAAAAGATTTTTGGGTATATTGATTCTTACTGGCTACCATCAACTACCATCTGAACGTGCGTATTGGAGTTTAGATGAAGATCTGGGCATTCAGTTAGTGGCGAGTTGCATGTCTCGAAATAGATTTACAGATATAAAGCGATACTTACACCTTGTTGATAATTCTTTAGCAAATAATACAACCGACAAGATGTTCAAAGTGAGACCGTTGTGTGATTTGATTCAGCGAAACTTTTGTCAGTGGGGAGTTTTACACGAAAATTTATCTGTGGATGAGTCTGTGATAAAATATTTCGGTCGTCATCCAGCTAAACAATTTATTAGAGAAAAACCCGTACGGTTCGGATACAAAAACTGGGTCGCAACTAGTTCAGACGGTTACTGCTATACTTTTGATATTTACTGTGGAAAATCTGCAGACGCTTCGTCAGATAGTCTTGGCGCAAGAGTGGTAATAATTTTACTCGCAAAAATGCCCATATAAGATAGTAAAGAACATATCGTGTATTTTGATAACTTTTTCACGAATTACCAATTACCGCATGATTTGCGTCTTCAAGGAACTAGAGCGACGGGTACAATTCGTGATAATAGAACAAAAAAACTTCTTTCAGTAAAAGAAATGAAAAAGCGACCTAGAGCAGAATATGATTATCGCTTTGATACAAAAAAATGAAATTGCGATTGTACGCTGGAAAGACAACAACGTTGTCACTATGGGTACCAATTTTGACAAAATTGAACCTGTAGGAAAAGTAAGGAGGTGGTGCAGTACAAGCTGACAAAAAGTAAATGTGAATATACCAGGACTATTCGTGAATTACAACAAAGGAATGGGTGGTGTAGATCAGATGGACCAAATTCCATAAGTCTGTACCGAGTTTCGATAAGAGGAAAGAAGTGGTGGTGGCTAATATTTACCTATTTATTGCATATGTCTACCTCTAACGCTTGGAGACTGCATGTTTTACAGAGCAAATCGGCAGAAAACATGACTATACATGGACCAATTGTCCTTTCGAAGAAGCATTGCGCGCGCTTACCTGCAGCAAACAAAGTCTAAATCCCGTCCTTCAGGCTCAACAGTGGAAGGGTTAGACAAAAAAATTACGGCTACAACCCACAGCGCATCCAAAATCCGCTGCGTCGTGCTGTATGTCACAGTCGCGTCCGATGGCGTTGCGAGACTTGCCTAAAAACGTTATGCGTAGAGCGAAGTTGTTTCGGAGAATTTCACTCTTGATCCGCCCACTGTACTCGCCTGTGTACACACTTATAAGTGTTATTTTTTAATTTTTTCTTATAAATGTTTTATATAGGTATTATTAAAACAATAAATTATAATAACATGAAAAAAATAACAATAGTTTTATTTTGGGCGTTAATGGGATATACGTCCCACTCCTGAGCACAGGCTTCCGCTCATTATTGAGAGGATTTTTGGGCAAGGAATTGTCCGCCGTACTGTCCCATTGCGTGTTGGCGAACTTCACATGTCTTTGAAATATTTTTTTCTTATTTCTCAGACACGCAGGTTTCCTCACGATGTTTTCCATCACCGTCGAGATCGTGGTAAATTAGCACTTAAAATTGCAATTAACAATTTCATTGGTGCCGGCGGGGATCGAACCCGTTTGCTCGCATAATGTGAAATTTACAGCGAGCGCTAACCATCTGAACTACCACGGCTATATACGCATTAGGTAAAAGCTACTTTTATGTTTGCCGAACATTCTCAAAGCACGTATTTTATATTTTCTATAGATTAATTTTAAAAGTTTTTTCATTAACCTTGGGAAAATATATATTTGTTTAACAATTGCTTTTTTTTGGTTTGGTATTTTTAGCAACTCAGATTTTCAACATGATATCGAATATTGACATATTTTTCAAATATATATTTTTCATATATGTTTTTTCATATGTAGCCAGGCTGCAGCGTTTAAGGGGATATAGTAAGTCAGCTCAAACACTAATTTCGCCCCGCTTCCCCGCGCGTCGTATGCTATGTATAGACTGTAAGTAGATAAGTCGTTAGATACTTATTTCATTAGGTTTATCATATTTATGCCTGTTCCTTAACACCAACCCAGTCGCTTCTTATTTTTATTACGGTTATTTCCCATTTTAATTGTACGTCGTCCTGTTCCGTAATGTGTATTCTGATCGTAAACGACACAACTTCCCCTTCAAAAGCCTGAGCGATACTAACCGGGCGGCAGGAAACAAGCTTAAAGACGCCGATAGTTTAGATAATTTCTTTTTACAGTGAAAATAATGGTATTTTAAAAAAGTAAATAACATAAGCCCTGCTTTATAGTAAGTTCAGTTATAGTCAACCAAATCTAAGAAATCTAATAAAAAGGGTTATTTTAATATTAAGGAATTTATGGATGATAAAAACCCCTGGGAAAGGTGATCGCTACCAAGCTATATCCAATTTGTTTTGTGTTGTAAATTGTAACACGCATGATTGTAAGCTCTTTTTTTTTAACTAGTCGCATTGGGTTTCTTGCGGGTTCTTCCCAGGACAGAGGTTTTTTTTTGCGAACCAGTGGTAAATGAAAAAAGTGACTTTCAATAAGTATTATTCGTAATCTACACTGAATAAAAAAGTTTCTGTTTCGAGAGCTTACTGTGCGTAATTTTGTGATTTTGTATTTGTTCTTATTTTGTAACTCGGCTTTACTTTTTGGACTGTTTCTTCTATATTCGTTGAAGTATGTGCCCACGTCACAAAATTTGTTTGGGCAAAAGTGGTAGAAAAAAAATTATTATGAATGACTTTGAAAGAGACATTAATTTTGACTGCATTTTTTAAAATCAAATAATAATTAATATAAACAACGACATCTCTACTAGTTGTACTGAAAGTGATTGAATAAATTTATTTTTAACCTAAATCTATTTTTATAACTATGCCTCTAGAAATAAGCAGTAACAACAAATACGAAAAAACTGATAAACCTTTCCGTTTTAATTGATTCTGGTTTCTTTTCCATTTTAATTTATTCTGGTATTATTCAAATCAAACTGCAAATGATTATCAATTCTAAATAATCGATATCGATTTTTTCAAGAATCGAATATAGTACGTTCCCATTTTTTGGTTGGCATGCTTGGTGCAATAAGTCTGACAGCTGTCAAAAGGTATTTCTTAGATTTGGTTGACTATTGTATGCAAAGTTTCATGATCTTATTTAAAGTATTTTATGAATAACAGCGGTTTATTGTTCAGTTTGGAGGTAACTTTAGATTTTTTTTCTATCGAGAAAATTTTACGGAATCGTGTTTTCGTCTAACATAGTACTTAACATTAATCCTCAACTTTACCATATATTTATTTCAAAATTAATGCTGCAATATTTTCGGCATAACGGAGGATCTTGTTAAGCCATTTAAGGTTATATTTCCCCTTAAGGGCGCGAACGGGTTGGCTTGACCGGGGAAGAAACACGCTTACACTGAATACCAGCGTAAAATATCAGCATTAAGTGCTGTTTTCATTTGTGCTCATTTCTCACCCATACTTTCATAAAAAAATATGTGACCACATGAAAAACTGACAAACTTATAAAACTAAAACAAATCATTAATAGCATTAGGACATTGAACAGTTTATTCATTTTTACTTCATACTAGCGTGCTAGGCAGACGTTGTTCTGACCTTTTCGACGACTCTTTGTCATGTTTTATTAAAAATCCTCAAATACGCAAAAGAAAAATTATGGGCCACTCATGGTCAAAAAACTATCCTATCTCTCAAGTTGGACCAAACTGCACACGGTGTTCAAATTTGATTAAAATCAGTTAAGTAGTTTAGGAGTCCATTGCGGACAAACAATGTGACACGTAATTTATATATATTAAGATTTATCGAGAATTAAACTCACCTAATTGTAGTGTACACAAGCCGGGGAACGTCGTACTGGTCCGCACTCGTCCTAATTCAGCCAATGCCTCAACGAACCTCTGCTGGGCGTCATTGTGGGCGAAATCGACGGCTAAAAAGGCATTCTCCCTCGGTTCAGCCAAAGCGGCCGCGTCACCGAGTCGCGCTCCTAACGCTGCCGCACGGCTGCTCACCTCGCGCACTTCTACTTGTTGCTGAAGACCTGAACATTCTGCTTCCACCTACATACATAATTACTTCATCAGAAAACCGATAAACGAGGATCTGGTTGTTTACTTTATCGAGTAGGCATTATTTACCAATTCCACCTTAAGTATATGATTGATTTTTTTGAGGTTTTGCAACTGACGTATGAAGTATGCCAATTGAGCTAACAGTTTACTAGAAACCAGATGTTAAGCGGCTACTGTAGTATACCGAAAATGATGCGTTTTCACCTCAGAGGACTAAAATTAGATTATTGTGACAATAAACCTTGAAATCATATTGATTGTTACCATCTCTTCATAAATAATATAATTAAAAATGTAACACAAATATATAACATACCTACAGGTAATGTATTGCGGATTCATTTATAAATGGTAGTACCTACTTAAAAATATTGACTAAGGATAATTTGGTGCAATATAATTGTTTACAGTTCATAAAAGTAGCTTGATCTCTGCGACAGCTGTCAGTAAAATCACGCCTATGAAGTCCTGAATTTCTTAGTAGTACAGACAGCACCTGTCAATGTCATACTTTATGGGCATGGGTCGGCAGGGGAGAGCTATCTTTTATGAACCATAATGTATAAGTATAACGAACCTTTATTAAGGTCATGTATTTAAAAAAAGGACGTTTTTTCACTGAACAACTGTATAGAATAAGTGGTTTGTTCTCAGTTAGACAATTACATGTTACTATGACAATCCTCAAAGCACACAAATCCCTGTCCTTTGACCCATGCATCTTGAAAAAGCGGCGAAAAGATGTTGTGGTTAAGCCTTCTGGTACCAAAACAGTTTTTGCTAGTAGGCAATTTAGCTCATGTTCTGCATTCCTATATAATAAAACAAATTGAGAATTGAACATATACGACAAAAAGTACAGGAAGTGTAAAAACCTGATACTAAAATGGGTGCAGTCGAAAACTTATGAAGAAACCGAATTTCTGCTGTATCGCATTTCATAATTCACTTCTATGTACAATATAATATAACAAAATAATTCTTCATACACACACACATACACACAGAGAGAGAAACACACACACACACACACACACATGCGCGCGCGCGCACGCGACGCACGCCCGCACGCATACACTTTTGTAATTTTTGTAAATTTTGGTTGTTAAAGTCGAGTAATTTGTTTTTGTCATTTTTGGTTTTTTAAATTAAGAAATGTATGTTTAGATAAGGAAGAGCGGGATTTCCAAACACAGGCATTACTTGCTTAAATGGAGATCCCAGTCAACTATGTCATTAATTTAAGTTTTGTGAAGAAAAATAAAATATTTTATTATTTTTTATGGGGGGTATAAATATAGTTTTCTCATCTGGTTGGGTTCTATAAATATATAATTATAAATGAAAATGAAAAGATAAATATACATAAATATCAATAACATAAAATAAATATAAAAATACATATATAAATAAAAGCCCAACCAGATGGAAGCCCTCGGCAGGGGAGACCAAACGGCCGAGGGTTAGGGGGAAAGGGAAAGAAACCGGCGGACGATGCGGGCGGTATCGAGGAGCACCGCCTTCTGCATTTGAGCCTGGAGCGGTCCGCCACGTAGTCCCAGCCGCCTCAGATGACCCGAGAGGCTGACTGGGATTAGCCCGTTTGCAGAGACGACTACAGGAATAATTTCGGTCGGCAGACCACCCCACATGTCGGTCACCTCGTGAGCCAGGTCCAGATATTTTGTTTGCTTATCTGTTTCGGCTTTCACGAGGTTCTCGTCATACGGAATGGTAATGTCGACCAAAAATATCCTTGACTGTGCCCGGTCCATCAGCACAATTATATATTTTTTATTATTATTATAAGTTGCATTTTTTTTCCTTACAAAAATAAAATCTTTTAGACTAGACTTACGGACCCCACACACGGTCAGTTCAACTGATCAGTTTAAATTAAAAATGTTGATATTTTTTAAAATAGTGGATTTTCGATATATCGATCATTATAAATATATTAATATCGGAGTTTTACATATAAGTTTATTTATGGATATATCGAAAATCCGATATTTAAAAAAAATATCAACAGTTTTAATTTGAACTGATCAGTTTAACTGACCGTGTGTGGCCACCATTAGTTTTATTATTACATCTTTTCTAAGTACTCTGACTGGCGCCTATTTTAAGTCACATATTTCCAAAGCAATTTTTAATACATTCAACTGGCGAAACGCAAAATGATTGAAACATTAAAAAAACCAGTTGATTAGTTTAATAGGAAAGTGCCGGTTTTGTAACGGTTTACATTTTTGATGCGTCAAATTCTAACTTAATAAATATAAAATTTTATGATTGCAAAAATAAATGTGAAGCGACATATATTTTTGGAGTCACAACATTTATATGAATACAATATAAACTTTTTGAAAGGTAAGGCAATATTATTCAATCATAGTTTGTTATTATGTGCAAAAAATGGGTTAAATTGTTTTAATGGCTGTCTTTTAGAATGAGGTTAAATGTATCAGCCACGATGCAAAAGCAAAGCTCAAGGAAGGTATTAAATATGTGGGCTAAATAATAAATAAAAAGATATACGATTGCTTATAAGATTTTCATGAAAATACTTTCCAGATATGTCATCAACATTTTTGAAGTTTTCGTGAGGCCTTCGTTAGGCGCCATGTGGAAGTGAAAAGGTCTCAGAGAATGCTTAATGCTTTATTTTACGATGCAGGCTAAATGCTTTAAGCCACATCTTTTTTGTGTTTTTGTAATAAAGAAAATATTTTAAGGTACTTTGTAAATAAAACGTAACAACGAGAAAATTTATTTTGAATGACTAAGAGTAATAAATTTGAGAAACTGAATAAAATCTGATCAATATTTCGTCTAGTTCAAATCAGTTTTTATTGAAACATGTCTAACTAAGTAATTCACAGAAATGTTGACTAGCTTAAGCGTCAAAAAAGTGTTCACATCTCAATAAGATCTGAAGCAGTCAACGCTACAAAATTAGCTGATTTCAAATTTGTATCTATATATAGGCACTTAATATCAATATCGCCCGGTAGTCGCTTACCATTTTGTTTTTCACTCTTCACATTTAATTCCGAATCAGAATTTTAGTGACCAGTTAGAGCAATTCCCGATAGCCAAAACTGTTTTCCTTTAAGTAGAATTTTTAGTTTTAAGAATAAAGAAGTTGCATAATGTGGAATCGAGACAATTAATACCCTCTTTACAGTATCGTTTCTTCTCGATTTATGTTATAACCCTTAGTTTTATGGTTTAAAAAAATTTATGATGCATGCATGATGATAGCATCAATTTTTTTTGTTGTCAGTAATTTACTTGGCCAGTACCAGTTTATAATAGTATAAGAAAATAAATAAAAAATATCTCTGGATGGAAAAGAATATCCTACCCTATTAATAAGAGTTAAATCCATTTCAGTGCACACAAAGAAACCACCAAAGACTTAATCAGGTAAAAAGTAACTCTTAAAAATTGGAGGCAAATTAAAAGTATGTTTTTGGTGTTTTTATAATTAAAATTTATAATTATAAATATCGCGTATTTAATTACTTGTTTTTTATTTTTAGTTTTATATACCATAAGGGTGACAAACGAGCACACAGTCCACCTGATGGTAAGTGGTTGCTGCGGCCCATAGAATCACAAATCAAAATGCAGATGCGTTATCACCAGTGAGGACTAAGATGGAATGCCTCTTTTCCAGTAATAAGGGTCTCCGCTTTTCTACACTCACCATATGAAACACAGCAGCGTTTAGCTGCTATTTCATGCTGGTATTTTTTGAGAGTGTGATCCTACCCCGGTCGAGGCGACCCATTTGTGCTATACTACTAATGTAGCTGCAGCATAGCCCTACCCCATAAAAGTTTCAGTTCTGATACAATATTGTTCATGAAGAAATGGTAAGAAAATCAAATTCATGCCTTCGAAATTTTGTTTACATTTGCCAATATCAACATCATCATCTTGATTAAAATTACTATCACGAATTTTAAAAATTCTCTAAAAGTAGTTTTAATCAATGTGTAGTGTTTGCGTAAATATAAGAAATCATAACATCATCATCTGCCAACTTGTACTGCTAAGTGTGCATCATATTCTTTCATTTTGCAAAGTGGCTTGTTGTATGCTATGCCACACTAAATATTAAACTTTGAATTAGTATTAATAATTGATAGCTATTTTTTATTTTTTTTAAAAATATGTTACTACACTAGGATTTTTTCGTAAAGACAGTTTACAAACAAAAACTGCATAAGGACAAACATCCAGACCACGAACAATTATTTGTAGGCCATACAAACTAGTTCCGTGCGGGATTCAAACCCCTGGCACACAGTGCTGCAACCCATTGCTAAGCTACTGTGCTACAATAACCAAAATTAATCATACTTACTTTGGATTTTTCAGCATCAATCAGTTTTAGTTGTTCTTCAAGCAACTTCCGTTTATGTGTAGCAGCAGCCACCGCAGCCGACTTCAGCTCACTGTGACGTTTATCTAACGCTGCCTTAAGTTCTGCAAAATGTCTGTCAATTGCTTCCTCTGCTGCAGTAGCAGCTGCTTCTAGCCTTCTTAACTCACTTGCAACAGCTTCTCTAGCAGAACCTAGTTTACTAAGGCATTCATTGGCTCTATACAACAATATCTCTGACATTCTTTTTAAGGCAATTGAGAATGGCACTACAGTATGATCACAGGGTGTGTCACTATGTGGGCCGTCGGCGCAATGACGACAGAAAACACAGTCACAAGTCTCACAAAATAAGAGTTCTCTGCCAGGATGAGAGCTACATTGAGGTATTACTTCTCTTCGTTGTCTTGCCATTAAGTCAAGTAATTGATTGACGAGAAATGAAGGTGGTAACGCTGGCACACCACCACGTGGTATAGTAATCAACTCGCGACAAATGGGACATCGAAAGCTTCCTGCATCTCTTGTTTGTGATGCAGCTATTCGAGTTAGGCAATGTAAGCATACAGTGTGGGAACACGGCAAAAGCTTTGGTGTATGCTCTCCTCCATCATAAGTGCCTGAAAACAAATCTAAGATTACTTAAAAATAATGTTTAATTAATTAAAATTTATAATTTTGATATATAACACTGATAAAAGTGTAGATTATAAGTTCAAATGAAGTACAATAAATTATTATAGTTATTATTTCAATGATTCAACATAAATAATAATAACACAGATATTTGTGAGATAATAGTACACTAAAGATGAATTTTTATAAGGAATAGTTTAATCTTTCAAATATTCGTAACATAAATATTATATATAATATATAATAACATATAGCTATAAAACAATGTTATGGTGCTCATGAAATGTGCAATAAAAGAAACAATTTATGTACAGCAAGGAAAAGGTGTACTAACATAGACATGTGCCACATGTGAGGAAGCTCTCGTTAAAATCCTCATAGTTGATGGAGACTGTCTCGACGAGCGTGGAACTCATGCTCGCCATCCCGACGCCCAGCCGTGAACTGCATATTTCAATATTTAAATAAAACTATGGCATTGTACACATTACTAAATATTGAATTATGATAAATTCCATGTTAATAAGAGGAAAAATAAAGAGTAAAAGCAAAATACAAATTTTTGAGTTGACAAATGGTGAGATAAAAAATTTGTACAACCGACTTCAATGTAAATAAAGAAAACGAGAACATAATTAATGTATTCAAAGTAAAGTAAACACGCATTATTAAGATTAACTTAAAAAAGGTCTTCTGATCAAAATTATATGGGACCACATGAGAAGCACCAGCTTTTAAATAGAAAAAGAATCATCAAATACAGTTCAAACAGAAAAATGTTCTGAGGCAACACACATTAAAAATAATACAGCAGAATTGAGAATCTCTTTTTTTTAAGTCGGTTGAATTAACTACTGTCAGAATTGCATAACTTTATTATTACTGTTGAGAACAGAATAATTAAATTCAAAATTTTAATAGCATGACAAATGTTTTATTATAAAACTTGGATTATTTAATAAAAAACAATTTAATTAGGTAGTAATCAGGCAAATGATATGATGTCAAATTAGCTTGTTACTCATTACATAAATCATAATAATTGCTCTAACCTGTTTACAGTTGGTTAATAAGAGATAATGTGTACAGTGCTCTGCAAGTTGTGAATCACCAATTGGTGCACATTGTTCACTTATTTTATTGCCTTCAATTGAATGGGGTTCAAAACGTGCTTGTCATACATGCTGTGATATTTTGAAAACTATTGAAATTACAACAATATTAGAAAATTATCTGGCTTTAATTGAATTAAAAAAAAAAAACTAACACTGTGATTACATTAGTGTACATGAGATTGTAATATATTGTAGTTTTAATAGTAACCTTTTTTTAATGCTAGTACAAAAAATACAACTTGGTTGATAAATCATATCATTTAAGGTTTGCAAGGATAGATAAATTTATTAAAGACCTAATTTTTCCTCTAATTTCTAAAGTATACAACTTTTTTAACATTCATTCTGGTCTGCTACTATGTTCATCAGTGAACTCTTCTGTAGTACACAAGATAACCCTAATGGTACAGGTGATGTACAAGTTTGTCAAACAAACAGTTAAAGCAAAGTTCATTGACCTGAACAGTTATCTTTCTATTTGTGTTCTCAAACAAGGACTCTACATAACAGGTGTATTTAGCAGATTCGTGAGAAATACCATGAGAATTATAATATATAATAGTAGAACTAATTGTGTAAAGCTCTAGACAAGTTTAAACACAATAAAAGAATCACTAGTATGGTTGAAAAGTAAAAAGTAATGATGATAAAATGAATTCTAATTTAAAAATAATAAAAGAATACATAGGTAATAACTAAGATACTAATATTGCAAGGATTATATGGAAAAACATGTACTTACAGGAATGAGCAACAATACATGGACGTAAATTACGATATTAATTGCTGTTATGTACATATAATTTATCTCATTTTCTAGTCTTTGATTTGGTTTCAACAGTTTTTCGGTTCTTATTTTTAATATGTTAATATTACAACAGGTTTTAGTTGAAAAATAAGAAAAGGCGCATTTTTTATTACTACTATCTGCCTCCTATACTTTCAATTCAATTTTAAGGCCTGTGAAAGTGCTTATAAATGTTATTCATTAAACACATTCAACAATACAATTTTAAACAAATGCTCTTTCGTAATCGATCGATATTATAGGAAAACTATAGTCATGACAAAGAAATATTCACTTTATTACTTATCAGCAATTTTATAACATAACTAGTATTGAATCAAGTTATAAATTGACTCAGCGGCACATTGGTAGTGTTTCATTTTTAGTTATTCTATATTTGGAAAGGTTTTGTTTCCAAATATTTATCCTAAACTATTTTTGTGTCAACCAATAACCTCGCAACAAAACGTCAACTGTCAAAGTCAAAGAAATTGCTCATCAGTGCTACCAACATTTATAGGCAAAAACGCATTGCCAGACGAAATTTTTAAGAAGCAATCGCGCGTAAATTATCACGATGAATGAGAGACATTCGAGAATTTCTTTAACATAATATATTAATGGTATTAGGTTCAGGCGGATTGCACTTCTCCCAAAGGTTAAAGTAAGATCATTTACGTAGTTCTTATTTGTATCATTTGAGGTGTTTCTTATAACCCAGCTTTAACATTTTCAATATAAATACTACATTCATAATGTACTTAGCACAATTAACGCTTTCGGCACTTAAACCAGGTTAAATAAAGTTTATTATTTAAGGCAACTTCAGATATTTAACTTTGGGATTAAAGGAAGTAAAAAAAGTTATGAATATGTGGCCAGAGCACTGTGGAGCAAGAGGTTCTCGGGAAAAATATTCTGTCTTTATTATACTCAACCAAATCAAAGAAATATCTTTTGACGTTTCACATTTATCATTCCGGAATAACTTTGTACTAGCGTTCTCAGACGATTTAAAATAACCTTTTACATAAATCCCAATAATTGTGAAGTGTGTATTTCATTACAACATGTATAGCTCTTTATCACTAACTTAAGATCTAATCTTTCAAATCTTTCTAACTTTCAAATAAAACTACTTTGAAAAAAATACACCGTTTACTTAAAGAGAAAATAATTTAAAACCGAAGGATAAAAATTTTACCAAAAAAAAAAATTAAAATGCTTTTATTTTTTAAATAGTTTACAAAAAAAAAAATTTCGATTTTTTACCCATAATTTTTTATCTAGTATCCGCACATTTCGTTTGATCAAGTGTAAAATTAACATATTGTATTCAAATAATCGAATTTCTAACACAATATTTATCTGTTTATTCTAATTTTATTTTTAAAATTGCTTTAAATTATAAGAATCATGAATAAAACGATTTTAATTTTTTTATAATTTCCTACTTTTTCAACGTTAATTTGTGCAGGCAAAAGAAAACTCATATCAATAGTATAATTTTAAGTGGCGTCATTTCTTAAATGTTGCAGCCATTACGGCCTGTATTTACTGCCTAGGAGAAACAATTTACTTAATTTCGTGATTTCTTTAAATATATCGGCATAATGTTATGGTTTATACAATAAAATATAATAAACACGTTTTCTCATCTTATATTAGTGCTGAAAGCGATGTATGATAATTATAATAGTACGTAATTAAAGTATTAAAAAACGGCGGGAATTGAATCGCCGTAATAGATGTCAGTTATTGACAACAGATATTTGACACATAGCCGGGATGGATATTTTGACTGTTGAGTGGTTATTCAATGCCGCACTGATAAAACACTACGTAATTCCGATCTCCCGCCATTCCTTACTGTACTTACATTGTGATTTCGTGTCTTCTTATTTTGTGACTCGGCTATAACTTTTTGGACTGGTTCTTCTATATTCGTTGACCTTGTCAAGTTATATACTGGATTCTGATTAAGCAAGTGATCAAAATGTCGAAAAGAGGACGTAGTTATGATAGACGCACCTTCAACAGTCAGACTCGTGCATTGGTGGTAAATAAAACACAATACACGATATTTTGAACGTGAGTCGCGCGTCGAGAACGCGGCAGGGAGCATTTGAAGTAAATTATCTCAATTTATTTCTCGTATAATCTTAATTCTTGTAATTTAGTTACGAGAATAATTATAATAATTATGTAAAGTATGAAGGGAAGATTACAATTCATTATTGCACACATTTCAGCGGTACACACGTAAAATATGGTACTTGTAACAGTGCAATCGCACATTTTTAGTGTGTAAGCGATTTATTTAGGTCAACATAATTTGCGTCATTTACTTTAGTTTTTAAGCAGTTGACGTTGTCCATAGAGTAGAGTAATATATACAGAAATAGAAAGCCATCTCCTAGGATTTTTTGTCACCCAATATGAATAGAGTCGCCGTCTGGTATCATATCCCTTGAACTAATCTCAATATCATGTTGACTATAGATAGCTGTATGTAGTTATGTATATACAGCTATCTATACTATAGGCGGTTATACTTATATTTTTATTTTAAGGGATTAGGGTTCAATTAAAGACGTATTATAGATGTCAGTAATATTAACATTTATTTTTGTTATATATATTTAACATACACGATGTAAAAGCGTCTATTCCGCAAAATACAACACCAAACCAAATTAATATGTCCACCGGGTTACCGGAATGATAAATGAAAGCGTCTATTTTACACAACACTACACAAACATACAATGTGGTTCCAGCATGAAAATCTAAACAGACAACAAGAAACAGAGGGCTAATCCCAACTCAACCAAACTTATTGTTGCAACAACCGAAAATCACTTATAAACTATAATAAAACAACAACTAGCTCAGACGCCGGTAGCCATTATGTCAGTTCGAGAATAACCAGAATTGGTGTAGTCGCCATCTAGCGCACCTTTTAGAATTTAATGTTCGAAAGTTTATGCGGATATAGTACAAGGTGGCACTAGTGTCTTTGCAAATTATTGAACCCCAACCTAAAGTATGGAAGTGTACCCCCCTGACGTTGTCGCTCCGAACACGGTAGACGCGTTCTATATCATTATCAATATCGTTATATAATATCATTATTTATTTTAAATAAAATCATTTTTTCCTATATCAACTATCATTTAAAGGTGTTCCGTACATCTTTATGGTCCTTCGAGCTCCGTAGCGGGACCTGAAATTCGGGTTTTAACGACCGGAAAAAGTGTTTCCGCTCAGTGACCTATTGCGACATAGTGCACTAAGTGACGTGCGCAATAGCTGTTCTGTCTGTACTAATAAGTGTGCAGCATCATATCATTATCAATAAGCTGCGGCCATCGGTGTCACAAAGCATCAAGACTCAAGCAGCATTTGTGGGGGTAGCGAGTCTTGGGGCACCGCCCAGCAGTACCAGCGTGGAGCGCATCAGGAGAATCTAAGTCTTCGTTGGGTACTCACCACCACTACAGCACGAACGCGCCAACCACCTCTGCACAATCGGCAACCAGCATCACATCAAGTAAGATCTTTCCATTTTACTTATCTCTATATCGTGATGTTTGTCAACGATGTCCTCACTACGCAGCAGCAGCTATCAACAGCAATTGAAAATTTGTATACTAATTTCAAGAAGGACGGGTCTGATAGGAAGACTTCAGATTATGTCAAACGCAGATTAAATACTCTAGACAACTATTGGTTGGAGTATGAAAAGAGTTATCAGCATTTATAACAACTGGATATGGATGTACCAAGCAGAGAAAGAATAGATCAAGAACGTGAAAGATTGAAGGAGAGATTTGACAACGTTAGAGGATCGAAACTATCAGCCTTTGACAGAGGATAGACCTGGAACACCACTGTTAAAGCCCCCTACATTTGTCTCTAAAACAAATCCAATCACGCCACAAATAAGTACAAGATCAACATCGAGCAAAACAGAAGAAATGTTGAAAAAAAAGAATAGCAATTTTAAAGCATTTCAACGAACACTATCAAATATCAACCGGGAATTAGTATCAGAGAAATGGGAATTCGAAGACTTGTTACGTACTCTACAGTCTCGTTGGGCAGCTATCGATGCCTTACACTGGGAGCTGGATAGCGAATTGGATGGCTCCAATGAAGCGTATGAAGAAACCTTCAGCTTCTATGAACAAAAATTTTGCCAAGTCAAGAAAGATATCAATACAAAGATGTGGTCTGAAAGTCACCGAGAAAAGGCCATACCCCAGATGGACATACCTACGTTCACTGGCAATTATCATCAGTGGGTATCATTCAAGGATTTGTTTTGCGAAGCAGTTCATACCAATCGAACCTTGTCAAATGCCCAAAAAATGCAGTTTTTGAAAAGTAAACTTAGAGGGGAACCGGAAAAAATAGTACAGCATCTGCATATCAGTTCGGACAACTATCAAGTTTGTTGGGATTTGTTGAATCATCGATACAATAATAACAAATTAATTTTTGGGTCCCATATCAACATTCTTTTAAATTAACCTACCGCTCAACAGCAATCAGCAGCATATATTAAGAAAATTTATGACAGCGTAAACGAAAGCCTAAATGCCATAAAAAATCTAGGCATAGACATAAGTTCATGGGATCCTTTGGTGGTACATATTTTGTCTCAAAAACAAAATGCCGAGACTCACAAAGACTACATCGAATCTCTAAAGAATCCTAGGGATTTACAAACTTTAGCAGATTTTTTAATTTTTTTGGAAAATAGGTTTATGTCACTAGAATCATCTCGATGCAAACAAGACTACACAACAAAATCTTCTCAGCCTGAAACAACATCTCATCAAAAGAAGCCTCATTATTTTAAATCATTTACCAGCAATCAAAATCAAGTCACAAATTATGCACCGAAAAACTCACAAACAGGATGTCCACTATGCAAAAATGAAAACCACAGCATATTTCACTGCAGCAA